GCTCAACAGGTATCAGAGTGAAAGGGCCTAGAAGTTTTGAGACGCCTCAGAAGGTGCTACACGGTTGAGAGCTCTGACTGCATCTCTCCCCGCCCATGACCTGCCTGAGTTAGCTCGACAGAATAGTACGCACTTAAGAGCTCACCTTCTTTGTATGCACTTGAGCGTGAAGATATCGGAGCGGTACCGCCTTAGGGACGTGCCTCGACTGCACAGAGGATATGACATGGGTAAGGAAAGGAAGGAGCAGATGGATGAAGAGAGGTTGAACGAAGTGCAACTCCACCCTAACACTCTTCCCCTTCAGCAAAGACCACCTCCCCTTACCTCCTCTCCCCTCCTCCCCTTTTCCCCCTTCCTTCCCTTCTTGTTACCTCCTACCCCCGTCCCCTCCCCTCCTCTCCGCTCCTTCCCCCTCCTCTCCCCTCCGCAGGTTCTTCTCACTCACCAATTATTCTGAATGAACGGAATCTAGTCCGCATCGGCACAAATATCTCTGTCTCCAGGTCCTACCCCCTCCTCTCCTCCCTCCTCTCGTTCCGCCTCAGCCTCACCAGTCATCCGAGATGAACAGGATCAAGCCCATCCTCATCCCCTCATTGGGACAGCCAATTCTGTCCTCATGCCCTACGCCGCTCTCCCCTCCCCCATCGCTTCACTCTCTCATCTCCCCCATGGGTCATCTCTGTTTCCAGGCGCTACCCCGCTCTCCCCTCCCTCATCGCTTCCCTCTCGCATCCCCCCATCAAACCAAGGTGTGTGACACCGACCTGTCATTAAAAATGAACGGAATCCAGACCATCTTCATCGCCCTCATCAGCACCATCATCTTTGTCCCCAGGTGCTACTCCCTCCTCTCGCCCTCCCCCGCGTCACTCGTCACCGTCTTCTGCGCTCTCACCTGTCATCTGGGATGATTGGAACCCAGCCCATATGCGTCTCCCTTATGGGCACACTCACGTGCCTTCCGATCTTGCACGCTCCTCTCCCCTCCCCCTCGTCACCTTCTCCTCCCCTCTCCCCTCACCTGTCATCTGGGATAAAGGGATCCAGCCCATATGCATCTCCCTCATGGGCACACTCACGTGCCTTCCCATCTTGCACGCTCCTCTCCCCCTCCCCCCCTCGTCACCTTCCCTCCCCTCTCACCTGTCGTCCGGGATATAGGGTATCCAGTCCATCTTCCTCTCCCGCATCGGCACGATCCTATTGGTCTCAGGGTCCTACCCCCTCTCCCCTCCCTCGATGCCTCACTCTCACATCCCCCTCCCCTCTCACCTGTCATCCGGGATGTAGGGTATCCAGTCCATCTTCATCTCCCGCATTGGCACGATCATCTCGGTCTCCATCTGCACCGACTTGATGCCCAGCTTGTCTGAAGGAGCAAAGGGCGATAGCACCTGGGTGGAGGTTCGGGTGAGAAGCAGGGGAAGAGGGGGAGCAGGGGTGAGTACAGGCAACGATCATCTCGGTCTCCATCTGCACCGACTTGATGCCCAGCTTGTCCGAGGGGGCGAATGGGGACAGCACTGGTGGGGGTGCGGAGGGATTGGGCGAATGGCGAGGCGACAGCACCTGCGAGGGTAAGGAAGGGGGGACGAGGATAGGTCTTTGTCTCCAAACAGCCTGTCTGTCCCACAAGTATTTGTCTCCATCTGCTTGGCACCGATTCGATACTGGGCAAGTCCGAGGGGTCACAGAAGGATGGCACCTCTTCTTGAAAAGCCCCAAGTCAGGGTTCTGATCCTGAACCGTACGTTCAACCCCAACTCTAAACCGTACAGCACAACCTTTCATTTAAGCCGTATACCTAACCCTAACCCTAGACCTAGCCCTAAACCTCGACCCTAAACCCAGGAACATACCGCCACCACTGCTGGCACGTGAACCACTTTGTCCTTCCCCTTCCAGTGCACCAGCTGCGCTGAAATGATGGACAGGGTACAGGGATGGTGAATACAGGGATGGTGAATACAGGGATGGTGAATACAGGGATGGTGAATACAGGGATGGTGAATGGGTTGACGGAGGGGGAGAGGGTTTAAGGAGGATTGCGGAGGCGACTAATGGGGAGGGAAAAAGGAGGCATGGAATTCGTGAAAAGCACTTGGCATGTCGGGTGTATGAGGTGTACATGGGAGAAAATGACACTAGACTTGTAGGATCCAGATGTGGTTCTATTTCTTTCCACTGATTCAATCTTTTGACATGTTACTCTCAGAGTTTCAGCTCGCATGCTGCAGTGAGCACTTCACATCTGATGTCGCTTTAAGGGTTTCAACTCACGTTCTGTGCAGCCGAAGAGGTAGACCCGCTTGTTGTGCAGGGCCCCCCCTTCGTCAAACGCCTCCTGAATCGAGGAGCCAGAGAGTGTGTGGGAGAGGGTGTGTGTGGAGTGTGGGGGAGGGCGAGAGGAAGAAAAAGGGGAAGGGGGAGGGGGGAGGGGGAGGGGGGTTTGGAGGTCAATCTAGGGTTACAAGTGAGTTACACGATAAACTCACACGGTCAGGAGTATTTGGGAAGAATGTGAGTGTGCCGCATGAGTGTTCCCCGGGTACCTCAGGAATCCACAGGGAATTGAGCGGGATGTGCTTATATGGAGGATAGAATTGTGCTTACATCGAGGTTTGAGAAGTCCCACTCGATTTCGTACACTTTGTCGTATTGATCCCACTGCCAGGGCAAAGAGCACGAGCAGTGGGTAATGAGACACCCTGAATATGGAGTTGTGGCAGGAGAAGAACACTAGCATGCGAGCATGGAAGATGACGATATGTGCGAGTGTCGCATGGATTTGTTAGTAACATCACTTCGCAAAAAGGGGTGGATTTGTAGCGGATAAGAGTGCAGGATCGAGCTTGCAGCGAACCCATGTGAATTGGACATCGCCGGAAGGAAAAGGAAAGGGTTTCGAGTAGATGTATCAGGCTGCTTCTCAGACGTGAAGGCGAACATTGAAATATGGGGCGTGACAGCGGAAGAACAGAACCAGGGAGAGAGAAAAAAAAAAAAAAAAAAAACAACAACAACAACAACAACCAACAACAACAACTAGATATGGTTTCGTCCCTAGAAGTAAGCGAAGTAAGCGAAGTAAGAGAAGAAAGCGAAGTGAGCGAAGTAAGCGAAGTGAGTGGAATGGGTACCTCTGTGCCCACTGGAAATGCCTCCTTCCAAAAGTCCTCCTGATAGAAGCGATGGAGCGGCAGCACACAGACGGAAAGCTCAGTTAAAATGAAATGACGGATTTGAAAGACGTTCGCTGGAAAACACGGCGATAAAAATGCTCGCTCGAAATCCCTGACCATCTCAACCACGAGGAAAGTATGGGCGAGTAAGCAGATACTTTGAAAACGGCAATGCCGCTCCCCGCCGCTGCACATTCGCAACAATGCGTTTTCGCGACGGCTAGTTTGAGCTCACCATCTCTTGTCACTGACGCTGTTGGAAGAGCGGGAGCGAAAACAGCCTTGATCGAACGGCAGTCAGGAACGGAGCGACACGGAACGAAGCCCGCGACGGAAGATCTCAAAGCCGTTGATCGAAATGTCGTCGTCAAGGCAAGGGTAAAACGCGGTCCTAGTCGAAACTGGCAAGGTATAGAAACGCGAGAACGAAAAGAAGAACTAACAGTGCAGACAGCCGACCGAGATGCAAGGGTCACCAGCGTTGGTGAGCCTGAAGGAGCAGTTCTGGTGAGCACCAGCCAGCGACCACTGGCTAGAGAGACCAGTGACCAGGCTTCTGCAAAAGCCTGGTCAGGTTTTGGCGGGGAAGCGAGGAAAAGCGCGAAACCTGAGATGTCAGAAGAACCCCCAACCTCGTTTCGCGATCACCCCCTGTTACGACCTAATCTGTTTTTACTCTACAAGACGTTCAGAAATCTCATCTCGCTTAATTCCTAGCTCTCTCTACACTTTCTCACATCTTTCTTTCTAGAATGGAGTGAATGAATGTTGTGCGTTGCTCTATGTCGGTATGGTTCTAGAGCCAATCATGAAACAAAAGAAATGACGCAATGCATAGGGAAAACTATACACATCATCTTGTATGATACATGGAAACTACTATATCACAACACATCGTACCAAAGCAGCCCATACAGTACCACATCTACATGAATCCACACAGCATATCGTCAACCTGGGGGTCTGCTATGCATACTACAGCTACCTACGGGCAAAACGATAAAAATCGAACAAAAAAAGCGTGCACTGCAGGATTTGAAGTGCACAATAGCTGCTGTTGTTGCTGCTAACACAAATGGTGCGCTGCCGCAATAGCACCAAGCCGGAGAAGCCGGGTTGGTGGAAAAGGTTGGCCAGCAAACAAATAGTGAAAGTCTGTTGAGAGATGACGGATTGCAGGGAGATGGCGAGATGCTTGATCGATGCCAAGGCGGGTTGCAGATGCCATCATGCCAGTGTGTCAGGCAATCCCACAGGCAGCAGTAGACTGTATTGCACCTGCAGCAGCACCTTGGCTGGGGGTGAGTGAGATGCTTGTGCTTGTGCTTGAGCTGCAGGGCCAGTAGGGACCCCAGCCCCCCAGATTGCAGCAAGCACAAGCACCAAGGAAGCACAAGCACCAAGGAAGAACAAGCACCAAGGAAGCACAAGCACCAATGGAGGAGCGGCTGGGTTGGGCGTGAGGTGCTTGTGGGGGAGGGGCTGGCCGGTGCGGGGGAAGGTGCGCTCGATGCTGCTGCGCTCGTACATGAACCTGTGGGAGTAGCAGCCCCTACTGCGCCTCTACCAAAGCGTGCAGCCCCTTCTGCCCCTGCAGCAGCACCTTGAGTGTGTGGTTGGGTGTGAGGTGCTTGTGGGGAGCGGCTGCCCGGTGCGGAGGGTGGTGCGCTCGATGCTGCTGCGCCTCTGCGTGAACCTGTGGAGAGTAGCAGCCTCTACTGCCCCTGCAGCAAAGTAAGCAGCCCCTACTGCCCCTGCAGCAGCACCTTGAGCGTGTGGTTGGGTGTGAGGTGCTTGTGGGGGAGTGGCTGGCCGGTGCGTGGTGAGGTGGAGTGGGCGAGCAACCAGCGCTCGATGCTGCTGCGCTCGTACGTGAACCCGTCGGCTGCCACCACCGGGTCCGTCATGCGTTTCTGAGAGGGAAAGAAGGGTGATGGGAGCAATCAAAGGGACAACGGGAGAGGAAGAGGAATGCTGAATTGCTGCACTGTCATGTATTCTGCCCCCAAGGGGCACACGCACCACTCATCACCGCTTCCCCATCTCCCCCTCAGCCTTACAGGCAAGCCTAGGCAAACTAAGTTAACATGGCTAGAATGAGTCTCACATGCGACAGGGGGCACATGCACTGCTCGTCGAAGCTTCGTCTCCGCTTCCCCATCTCCCCCTCAGCGTCCTCCATCACCTCCCCCATGGCCGGCTGTACCACCTCCACCAGGCTCGGCCGAGCCTCCCGCTGCCGAACCACACACCGGAGCGCCAGCTCCGCCAGCTTCCGAGCCACAGGCACGGGCCACTGGCCCCCGGAAATGTCCAACTCCCTCACGATCTCATCAATAGTCCGCGCCAAAACCCTTGTACTGGCTGCCTCGGCTGACGGGCTCTGGCCCCAGGCATTACCCACCATGCCCTCTCCTCCCCCTACCCCAAACCCACCCATGCTCACGCCAATCCACTCCTGCATTCGCGCCAGTCTCCTATGGAGCTCTTTCACGTTGGGCTCCCCTAGGAGCAGCTGCAGCGCTATCAGCCCAAACGCATACACGTCAGACAGCACCGAGATCTCGCAGGTCTCTAGCTCCTCCGGGTCAATATACCCCACTGTGCCTCGCACCCGCGCGGTTATGTTCTCGACGTCGCTGAGTAACCGCGCAAGGCCCACGTCGCCCACCTTAGAGGAGAGGCTTGTATCGAGGAGGATGTTGTCGGGCTTTAAGTCGCGGTGTGCTATGGGGGGGTCGTTCTGGTGGAGGTACATCAGAGCTCCGGCCACCTCAGATAAGATTCTCACCCGGTCAAACCAAGTCAACGCCTTTCTGCCGCCCCTGCTGCTCCCCCCAACACTACCACCACCACCAGCACTGTTGCCCCCGCCAATGCTGCTGCTATTGCTACCGCTGCTAATGACAGCACCACCTAGGCTCGCTCCACCGGTGCTGCTGCTAAACCCATCACTGCTCATCCCACCACCCCTACTGCCCATGCCACTGCTATTCCCAGCAGCAATAGCATCAAGACAGTCCTGCAGGCTGCCCCCTGGCAGGTACTCATACACGAGGCACATCTCGTCGGGGCAGTGCCCCATGAGCAGCACTATGTGGGGGTGCCGCATCCTCGACAGAACTTCCACTTCCATGTGGTACTCTGCACTGCCCTGCCACCCGCCCCTTCGAGTTTTTTCACTGCTACCATACATCCCAGCAACCGGCCCTTGTATACGGTTCCGAACGAGCCTCGCCCGAGCCTGTTGTCTGCCGCCCAGCTGTCCGTGGCTCGGGCGAGTTGGTCCGGGGAGAATTGCCGGCACTCCACTGCTGCTGGGGAGCCCCCTCCTCCAGCCTCGCCCCCCTGTGCCCCCCGGCTGTACCCTCTGCTGTTCCCTTGGCTGTTTCCTGCCAGCTGGGGGCCGTTCGGCGAGAAAGATATGGAGCCACTGCCACTGCCACTGCCGCTGCCGCTGCCGCTGCCCCCGCTGCTGCCTGTGCTGTGGCTCCCAGCTGCTGCAGTTGGCGGAGAGTCAGAACGGAAGATTTCGAACGAGGCTTCCAAAGTAGCACCAGGTGCAGAAATATCTGCCGCCAAAGCAGCAGCAGGGGCAGCAGCAGCAGCAGCAGGTGTGGCCGCAGCAGCAGGTGCACGAGGTCGTATGAGCGTCTCTCCCTCCTCCTCGCTGTCGTCATAAGCCGCCAGCTCGTCTTTCAGCGACATGAGGGATCCACTCCCACCGCCCACCACCCTCACAGACACAGATGCTCCTGCTGCTGCTGCTGCTGCTGCTGCTGCTTCTCCTTCTGCTGCCCTCCCTGCTCGTCTTTCATAAGACGCCAGTTCGTTTTTCAGCGACATGGAGGATCCACTCCCGCCCCCCACCGCCCTCACAAACGCAGATGCTCCTGTTGCTCCTGTTGCTGCTGCTGCTGCTGCTTCTCCGTCTGCAACCGTCCCTGCGCGTCTTTCATAAGCGGCCAGCTCATCTTTCAGCAACAGAAAGGATCCACTCCCACCTCTCACAGCCCTCACAGGCCCTGCTGCTGCTGCTGCTGCTCTGACAGGGGCCTGAGGGCAAAAACCAGACTTCGGCGATACCCTCGGGCCCTGTGCTCCTACTGCCTTATGCCCACCGCTGCTCCCCGTGCCGATGGGTGGCGGCTCATACTCAGGCATATGCTCTCCTCTGCCGGTCAGCGGTGCTGCTTTACTGCCTTGCCCCCCCCTGCCCCTGCCCCCCTGTAGACCCCTCGAGACTCGTTACTGCGTTGTAGGACTTGCTGCCTGCAGCAGGAGAGTCCCACGGGATGGGGGCGGGAGAGATGGGCACATGTCTGCTGTCGAAGGAGCTTCGGTTCAGTTTCGGGTTAAACTCGGATGAAGACCTCTGACTCTGGCTCTGTAGCCAGTCCGGGCTGTCATGAGAGGAGGAGAAGCGGATTCTTTGGGAGCCGAAGTTGGGGTAGGGGTTCAGCCGCGGGTCGGGTTTGCACCCCAGGTTGTTGGCCCATGCCGACTGGCCGAGCGGCTCCGCTGCTGCTGACGTGTCATTGCCTGCCCACGCGCTGGGTGCTGCCGCCGGCCCGCCAGCTGGCACCGCCGCCGCCAGGTCAGCTGCGGGGCAAATGCGTCTTGGTTGGCTGGACACGGAGATGTCTAGGGATCGGCGCGCAGTGAGGTCAGGTTGATGCTGTGGTGTGGGGGAGAGGGAGGAAAGACGAGTGAGAAAGGAAGAGGCTGAGGGGACGGAGATGTCTAGGGAGCGGTGCACAGTGAGGTCAGGTTGATGCTGTAATATGAGAGAGTGTGATGGAGAGAGGAATACGAGGGAGGGGGGATGCGAGGGAGGGGGATCCGAGGGAATGGAAGAAGGAGAGGAAACAGGAATGAGGAAAGAGCGACGGCCAGTGAGGACCGGCTGATGCTGCATTTAAAGGGTGAGGGGAGAGCAGGGGGGGGAAGGGAGGGAGAGGGAGGGAGAGGGAGGGAGAGGGAGGGAGAGGGAGGGAGAGGGAGGGACAGGGAGGGAGAGGGAGGGAGAGGGAGGGAGAGGGAGGAGAGGGAGGGAGAGGAGGGAGAGGGAGGGAGAGGGAGGAGAGGGAGGGAGAGGGAGGAGAGAGGGAGAGGGAGGAGAGGGAGGGAGAGGAGAGGAGGGAGAGGGAGGAGAGGAGGGAGAGGGAGGGAGAGAGGGAGAGGGAGGGAGGAGGGAGAGGGAGGAGAGGGAGGGAGAGGGAGAGAGAGGAGGGAGAGGGAGGGAGAGGGAGCGGCACGGTATGTTTCAATAGTGGCGACCAGTGAGGAGCAGTGACAAGGGTGAAAGTAGCATTGATCGGATGCTGTGGTACAAAGGGTGCGCGGGAGCTTAGTTGCTACAAACGCGTTTGGCGTTTGAACGCTAGCGTTTAAACGCTAGCGTTTGAACGCTAAACGCTCGGCAGTGTGTATGTGAACGCTAGGCAAACGCTTGCCCGGGCAGGGGTAAAATTTTTACACGGGCAGGGGTTCAAGATTCCTGTGGGGGAGGGGGAAACATGTGGGTTCTACCAGCAGGCATTTTGTCTCATAAAAAAGAACCGTGCTTAACATTTAAGCCAGCATCCTCATATGTCATGTAAATCACCTATCCTTAAGGCTATTCTCTAACGACAATCTCGTGTTTTTTTTTGGGCAGCCCGAAAAAAATCCCAGAGAGCGTTTGCGTTTTTGGGTGCGTTTGGCGTTTGCGTTCAAACGCAAGCGTTTGAACGCTAAACGGGTGTCTGCCAGAGCGTTTGTAGCAACTAAGCGCGGGAGAGAAAAAAGGCGAGGGAGCGGAGACGGAAATGTGTAAGGAACGGCGAGCAGCGAGATCCGATTGACACTGTGGTGTGAAGGCACGGGCGAGGGAGGGGAGACGGAAATCACTTTTGAGTCGACGCAAAAGACAGTTTGAGTCGACTCGAAGGACATTTTGATGCTGTGGTGTAAAGGCTAGGGAGAGGGAGAGGAGAGGGAGAGGAGAGGGAGAGGAGAGCGAGAGGAGAGGGAAATGAGTAACGAGCCGTGAGCAGCAGGGTTCGAGTGACGCTGTGGTGCAAAGAATGGGGAGAGAAGGAAACGACTTAAGGAGCGGCGACCAGTGAGGTCGCCGGGTTGACCATTCTGTGGTATGAATGGTGGGAAGGAGGGAGTGACGTATGAATGGTGGGAGGGAGTGACGTATGAATGGTGGGAGGGAGGGAGTGACGTATGAATGGTGGGAGGGAGTGACGTATGAATGGTGGGAGGGAGTGACGTATGAATGGTGGGAGGGAGTGACGTATGAATGGTGGGCGGGAGTGTCGACAGACGAGGGAGAGGAAGGGCCGTGGAGCATTTCACTAGCGGCGACCAGAGATCTAGTACGACGACCAACGATTTGACGGACGGGAGCGAGGAAAAGAGACAAGGAGAGGGGCGGGAGGGCGGCGGAGCGTTGCAATGACGCTTGAGAGGGTTGCAATGACGGCGCTTTTGAGAGGGAGGGAGACTCAAAAGAGAGGGAGGGAGAGGTAGGGCCGCGGAGCGTTTCAATAACGGCGACATGTGACGATGTAGTACGACAGACGATGTGACGCACGACAGACGATGTGACGCACGACAGACGATGTGGCGCACGACAGACGATGTGACGCACGACAGACGATGTGACGGACGGGAGCGAGGAAAAGCGAAGACGAGAGAGAGGCGAAGGAGAGAGGGCGAGGAGGAGGGTCGGGTAGTAAAGGCGTGCGTGCAGTAGGGGGGGTCGAATGGGTGCGTGGGTGTTGCTTAGCCGTGTGCGTAGGGAGAGAGGGAGGGCCGCGGAGCGTTGCAATAACGGCGACACGTGACGATCTAGTGCGATGCGACTGACGACGTGACAGACCGGAGCGCGGGGTGCGTGCGTGCAGTGGGGGGTCGCATGAGTGCGTGGGGTGTTGCTTAGCCGTGTACGTATGTGCACCTCGCGTGTCAAATTTCTTTTCTTGTTTTCTTTTCCAGCTCGCTTGCAGCTTTTTGTTACGCTCATGCAACTTTCAAGACATAACCTTCGCATCAAAATATTTCCAGATTCATAGATAAGTCATTATCAGCAGAACAACTCCCTTTCAAATGACAAGATATGGAAAGAAAAAACAAGCGTGCCGAGAAAAAAAAGAAACAAAAAAAGGGCTGCTTACCGATGGAGAGGCTCTGGCCGACGGAAACAGCTGCGAGTCGTCGAAGACGTCGCCGCGTTTCCGTATGACGACCGGCTTTCCCGCCGAATGATGCACGTCGCTCTTCGGGTGCAAAGCGCCTCTACTTCTTGAACTCCTACTACTGCTACTGCTACTACTCGCACTACTACCAACAGCACTACTAGAGCTCGGGGACAAGGCGCTTTTCGGCGACACCCGGCTTTCTACCGACGAGCCTCCACCCCTTCCGGCCGTGCCAGGCCGCGCAGGCTCTCCCACAGCCGACCCGGCAGGAGGCGACGAGCGCGCGATGGGAACGACGCGAGACTCGTCGTCTAACGAGCCTGTTCTTATATGAACTATTTTCCGCGGCCCCTCTGGAGACAGTCCGACTGTCGTCCCTGTGATGCTATCGTCCATTAGGCCCCCCACGCGGGTCCATGGGCGGGTGACACGGTCGTCATGATTAGCTTCAGCGGATTCTCACTTTTGTTGCGATGAAACAGATTCGCAGACGCGACTATGGTGCGAGTTACACGAAGAGATGCTAGTAGAGGTGGAGACGGGTGAGAATGTGCTACCTCTTCGGCGGCGCATAGTAGAAGGCGAAAGGTCTAAGGACGCCGCGAAGCATCATAACGTCCCGAGTTGGTGGAGGGGAACGATGCATTGAGAAAAGAGACTCCTGGACTAGAAGAAAACCAACTGGGGATGCCTGCCTGTCTGGTCAAGGAACAGATGAAACCGAGGGAGGTGAAGCACCGAGGACACTTTTTTAGTTTTGAGACCATCTGTCCCCAAAATCAGAAGCTTGTTTTGCAGTTTCGTTTGTATTCACCAGTTACGCTACACCGCCTGTGTTTGCTTTGCAGCTGCCGCGTTATGTCATGTCGATGGCGACGATTGCAAGATTGGCAGCACAAATCCTGATGCTGCCGCGGTCGTTACAAATTGCAAAGCGAGATCCCGCGCTGCTGGGAAGGGCAGGGCAGGGCACCTAGCCTAAATCAAGGGACAGATCCGTATCTCGCGAGATCTTATAAAGTGCGGTTCTCCGGGCCACGACAAGGTGCTGAGCAACGCAGCAGCTGTCAAGCATGGCTCCGCGCGATATTTTCCAGAGATGGTTGGACACCCTCTTTATATGAGTTTATTTAGGGTTCAATTCGTCTCCCGGTGTTACCCCCCACATTTTGGCTGTTCCTGAAAGGACAAGAAGCATCCAGCAATGGCTCCTCCTGGCCCTACCCAGACAAAGGCTCGAACAAAGCTCATGGGGTTCGACGGACTTCTCGTCTGGAAGCCACACTAAGTATCCGAGCATGTTACTGACCTCAAACCTCAGTATTCTGAAATGGGAATTTCAGCGCTAATTACAGGAGCATTCCTCGTCAGGCTGGGGATGCGTAAAACGAGGGCAAATCAAACATGTTCCGTTGGACATCTGTGGTGCACAAACACCTTCATAACGGAGAGGTGTTTCCAGGCCTACCCTTAAAGCCCAGGTCCCAGATTAGAAAAACGAGTCAGGTCAACGCTGGTTGAGGCTCGGCAATGGTTGGGGATGAGGTCTGGTACTTTGGCGAATCCCCACTGTCGCGAAAACGATTTACGAAACCAAACCCAGGGTCGCGAAGGCACGGAACTCGCCAGGACGCTGCCTCAAACTATCCATGCAAGTTCCCACCCCACTACTTGACGAACAGTGGGAGGGGAATGCAATCGCAAACACCTCCACCGCAGGGCTTATTTTATCAGAGTAAATCACTCTGATTCAGGGGTTCGATAAGGCAAATACATACCGAACCTCGAACCTCAACCGACTTCATCAGCAACTTCCTGCGAACCTCCCCACCCCAACCAGCTCGTGATCGTTACTGTAATACGTACAGATATATATGAAATTAGAGTATAATTTTAAATCATTAGTTCTTTAGATCACGAAGATCTTGAGAGAATTTGGATGGCCTACATGCTCCTTCCCAACCCATCCAACTCATGCCGTATTTCTCCAGTGTTAACTCGAGCTGAAAATGATATAATATGGGAAAATTCGCCTCGCCAAACATGTTGAAATCGTAACATGATCTCCAAATATGTACGTATTACACATTTAAAATTGCGTATTGTGAACGTGAAGCTGCTTGTAATGCAATTTTGGGATCGTCGAAGCCCGCTATTCGCCCTTCTCGGACTATATAATGTGGTTGGAGGTCATTCTTCCTCCACCCACGTCTTTTCATTCTTCACAGCTCACGTCCAATTGAGTTCCCTGATAGAATGGAATGAAGACTAGAATAGGAGGGTACAAGGCAATATAGGCTAGTGTGTTGTACCCTTTAATGCACAAACTTGTATAGTCTATAGTAACAAACTAAGGTATATTTGACACACCCTCTAGACTATATAGGGGCAGAGCCTAAGCAGAGAACAAGCTGCTCAGGGCGGCACTACTAGTCCAGCCTCTGAGGCAAGGGTCTAAATACCAATCAAAAGGAGTACAGACAAGACAAGAGCAAGAACAAGACGGCACTACTAGTCCAGCCACTGAGAGAAGCCACAAGGCCAGTCTGGGTAATATATATATAAAAGTCTATACACAATCAAGGCCCTAGCAAATGAGAGGCTACAGGAACAACACCAAGCTGTACACAGTGCCGCTGATGATCTTTAGGCGCAAGCGCCTTCGTAAAGATATCAGCCGTGTTGGCATCCGAGGCCAAGTGTACTACGCGTGCTTGGTGACGCTGCTGCAGCTCGCGCAAGAGGAAGTACCGCAGCTGGATGTGCTTCGCTCTGCCCTCAAGTCGAGGCTCCTGACATAGGAGGATCATGGCCCTCTTGTCAGCGTACAGGACCGGGGCAGAGCTAGGCCGTTCACCTAAGTCAGTGAGCAAGAAGGTCAACCAGCGGAGCTCCTGTGCCGCCATGGCACCAGCATAGATCTCAGCCTCGCAGCTGGACTGGGCAACAGACGAGGAGCGGATAGCTCTCAACGAAAAAGCACCTGAACCAAGGCTAAAGCAGTAGCCCTGAGAGAACCTGAGAGTCTCTGCGTTGTCTGCCCAAGAAGCGTCTGTGTGCCCAGTATGGACCACTGGCCTGCGACCTCCCAGCACTAACATCATGCCCGATGTACTTGCAAGATAACGCAAAACCCTCTTAGCGGCAGACCAGTGCTGTGGTCGGTGTTTGCCTGTGGCTACAAAGCGAGCTAGGATGCTGAGAGGGTATACGAGATATGGGCGAGTGCAAGTCATCAGGTACATGAGGCAACCCACAAACAGGGCTGAGTACGCAGCGCAGCGTGTCGTGCCACTGACAGGGCGCGTGTTGCAGGCCATAGACTGGGCGCTGCAGGAGCCACTGGGTCCAAGGGGGGAAGGTACCAGTAAAGCCCTGCGGGCGGCGCAGGTAGACCTGCTCGTGTAGGCTGCCCTGAAGAAAAGCTGAGGAGAAGCCGAAGGAGTGCAACTCGTAGTCGCGCTGTGCTGCTACGTATAGCAGAGCCCGAAGAGTAGTCATCTTCGAGGTCCGCACGAAGGTATGAAAGAAGTCCATCCTTTCACGCTGACTGAAGCCTCTAGCCACGTAGCGCGCCTTGAACACAGACGGCTCTCTAGGGGGGCGCTTCACCTTGAAGAACCAGCGGACATCGACTACGTTCACCCCAGGTGGGGGAACTGCGTCGACGTAGGTGCCGGTGGATCTCCAAGATGCCATCTCCTGCTCCATGACAGCTATCCACTGAGAGGCCCAGGGTCCCGAGGTGGCCTCAGCGTAGGTGCGAGGGGTCGGGATGTCGAGGGCGTCTTGGTCACCCTCAGGGACTAGCAGCATGGAGCAGCGATGGGGAGCAGCCTAAAAAAGGAAAGCAAGCTCATACCGGCGGTCCTCCAAGATGTCACTGCCGAGGGCAGGAGCACCCCCGACGGATGGAGGCCAGGCAGGGTCAGAGACTAGAGCGGTGGTGTAGTCAAGGCGGCGGGTAGAGGCGAAGTCAGCGAGAGCAGCCACAAGAGCGTCAAGACGCGAAACAGGAACAGATGGGTCGGTAACGAGGGAGGCAAGGACCCGAGGAACAAGAGGACGAGCGGCTCGAAGATAGTCAGACAGAGGGGGAGGAGCGATGACAAGGGAGGATGGAGGAGGCGACAACAAGAGGGGAGGACGAGACACGTGGGAACGAAGCAACATAGGGTGAGAACGAGGAACAGGAGAGGTAGGACGAGCCCGAGAGGGACGGCGAGACCAGACATGAGACAAAGGCGTCGGGTCAGGAGACAGAGGAGGAGTAAGAGGAGGGGAACGAGGGGGAAGGCGAGCCGGAGACGAGTCCGGAGGGGGGAACACAGGGCCGAAAACAGGAAGAGGAGGGGACGGTAGAAGAGGGGGAGATGCACGGTCAGGGGAGGGAAGGCCCAGTAGGCGAAGGGCGGACATTGGTGGCGACTGCTGCTGCGGCGGCTGCACGACGCTGATACCTGGATCGCCAGCTGCTTCACGGCTACCTTCGGAACACTCCACTCCGTCATCCCTAGACGAAACACCCCTAGAACCAGAAGCTCGCTCCGCACCGGCACCACCCCAGGCCCGCCGGACCAAGCCACAACAGGAGCCCCAGGACTAGCACCCTCCTCAACACCAGCACCCCCAGAAGGCACAAACTTCTGCCGCGGCGTCGACAACAGTGGCGGCTACGGCAGCGGCGGCGGCGGCGACTGCAGCTGCGGCGGCGGCTGCGGTTGCGACGAAGGGCCACCAGAGTCAGCAGACTCCTCAACCAGGACAACCGACGGGAGGGGGGTAACGTGAGACACACCAGACGGGGTAGGTGGGGAGGAGGGGGGCAGGGGCAACCGGGGAGGAGGGACCAGGAACAGGAGGGGGGTAACCGGGGGACCACGGTGGGGAAAGCGGTGGTAGAAGGAGACGGACTCGTCAAAGGTGACGTCGCGAGAGTGAAAGAAACGGTGGGACAGGGGGTGGTAGAAGTGCCAGTCAGACGAGTCGAGGGGGAAACCTAGGAAGACACAGGGGAGTGTGCGGGCAGTGAGCTTGTGCGTGCCAGAGGCACGAACGTGGAAAAGGCAGCCCCAGACGTGGAACGCAGACGCGTCACCAGGAGATCCGGTCCAGAGGAGGGTCGGCGAAATCTGCGGCCGCTGAGGGTGCGGCCACAGGTTAAGCTAGTGAGCGGCGTAACGAACGGCGAACGGCCACAGAAAATGGGGTGCACTGGCATGGATCATGTAGGTACGAGCCACCCCTGTCACAGGATCGAATGTGTCGAGGAAAGGTTGCACTATCGATCAATACAAGGCGCTTTTATACTTCCAGAGTACATCAGGTAACCAAGTTTATCCTATCCAAAGGGAATAGACCCTTCTAGAAGATAGAATCACCGTGCGTATAGCCACGCGAGGCTATTGGCTTTAAGGGATTACGGCAGGATTACGCTAGATATAGCGCACCAGTACATCCCAAGCCTGGTCGGTGATATAATTATAATAGCAGGATAAACCAAAGGTTAATGGAAAAGAGGAAACCAAATGAGATGAGATAAAGATAAATGAATGAGGAAGGAAATAAGAAAAGGGACAAGTGGTGTAACGGGGTCGTACTCTCACACTCCCCCCCCTCAAAGCTGGGTGGTAGAAGTAACACCCTGCTTGACAAGGTAGGCATGCAGAGGACGACGGGCGTTACCCATGTCGGACTCAGGGACCCAGCT